AGAATGAATTATAGATTGGAATTATATTACAGAAGTGATGAAATTGGGAGAGTGGAAGAAGCGCTGCGAAGGAATGAAGAAGCAAACGATCCGATCGACATTCTCGAATACAAACACCAACAACCACTTGACAGAGTTAGCTGATTATTGCAATTATATTTGTGTATTATTATTGCTAATGTTGTTAATATTGTTAGCGCAATAATCATAATAGTAATAAAATCAACAATAATAGTAATAACAATTATTATTATGACTGTCACTTTTCATGTTATTACTTATCGAAGAAACATCGAGAGTAACGATACATCATAATATGCATGCAACATGAAAGCAACACGTTTATAACAACGGTTACATTGATTCAACAAGCAACGTAATTGCTAGTTAACGGTATGTGCGCATTAGAAATTGAGAATGAACGATAGCAAAACAATATGAAGATTCATAAAAGTTTCAAGAAACGAAACCGTACCTTAACAAATCCTTGCCCGGCTTGTGCCGCATTTACACTGAATTTAATTTCTTGTCCAACAAGACCAACATCAAGCCCGTATACCTGAATCAATGACACCAGTGGTGTGGTGAAATGACTATCCTAAGCAAATCTCGTGAATATTTTTGGAACGTCTTCGAAAGATTCGATTGTTAGAAATCGTTCGATCGATTACACNCAAATCTCGTGAATATTTTTGGAACGTCTTCGAAAGATTCGATTGTTAGAAATCGTTCGATCGATTACACTTCCATCGTTGAACGAATATTGCGAGGCAATTTATGAATCAGCAATGAGAAAAGTTCAATGCAAATGAACGATTTGCAAATAGAGATAGATGCACACTAAAAATAGTACCTGTACAACATTAGCATCATAAACATTACATGAGAACGGTGAACCTCTGATGTGCTCATCATCGTAGAGAATTCCTATTCGCCATTCACCTTGAATAACAAACACTATCGATCAAATATAATCACTTTGAATGCGATCATTCGGATACTTACAATTAGCCAATGAAACGATGATCAGTAATTGAGCTAATCACTAACCAACTTCGTTCGGAGTGAATGTAGCTGTAAAGGAATTTGCCTTCTGCAGAACTGGACATTGCTTAACTCGACCTGATGGCGATATTGCTTCGACCAACACAGATCCATTCGACGAATCACCATGTGCATTTATCTATCATTTCATTACAGTTATTACTGTTTGTTGTTGAGCATGCTTTTGTTCAATACTTATTTCATTTCTCGTTAATTGAAGTTGTGAACTTCAGAACACTTAATGACCATCGAAAGTGTTACAACAGCCAAAAACTTATATCTATTTCCGTTGCTATTCCCTCTTGAATGAACGCACTCGCATTCAATTTCCGTGTGAAGCGATCAACAGCACTAATAATGTGAAATTAATGAGATCATTAATGAAAGTGATATCGATAACAAATCAGTACGATGCTAGGAATAAGCATTCCTCGTATCAGAATATTTCCATCAACTCAATTTGCGTATTCTTATTTCACTCCCTTATCATCTCATCATCATCTCAAATAAATATCATCAGCTCTGCATTGTCATTCATCTCGTAATCTTTTTAGATCTTCATACCGAGGTCATTTATACACAGTGGAATATGACGACAATATCTGTAATGTCTCTAAGTTTCATACCACATATTACATTTCTGTTTATCTTTGTTTTACCCAATTTATACCGCTTTATTTTTACTCAATAATCTGCAGTGACATTCTTCACCAATATCTTTATCAATGAATGAAATGAATGCTTCTTCACATAAATCTCTTCCGAAACAATCATTTTTCATTTCCTAAATCTTCTCTTTCACTCTCCTTAAATTTCAATTTGCTATAATTTACTAATTCCTCACGAACAGGATGTTGTTATATTCTTTGATGTCTTAAATTCTTGTATACTTGATTATATCAGTCTATAAATAGATAGATTAGTAATGAGTTATTGAAGTGAATATGACTAATAATCTCTGAAAAGACACTTTGCGTTGAAATACAAATTAGTATTATTACATTTCATGTGGCGTATATCAACAAAAGATAATCGAATGCAAATATTTGGATTGAATTAATTGCCGTTTATTGTTTAATTTACTCATTCAGAATTACGTCTACGTCTTCTTGTTTACTTCATTACGTCTCTGATAATATTCATTCGAAAAAATGTCACTAGTCACTGTATTCACTCACTAGTGTAATTTATATACTTCACCCGTTATCATCAACACTGAACTCAAAATGCTTTATGAGAAGCAAACGGCGAGAATGATCAGAAAGAAAGCACTAACAACGACTTCAACAATTGATCCGACAGAGCATGGTTCAGTGAGACCCGAGAATGAAACGTGACCTATGTCGGGTTCGGAATAAAAATCCATCGATTGTGGTGACGAAGAGAAAGTGTGTTGTGATGATGTTACAGGTTTCGACGAGGCAGCCGGTGGTAATAATACATTTAGCGCAATGGGACTCGATGGCACTTCTTTTCCTTGACACAATATTCGAACCTCAAATTAACCTTACTC